GGGGGGGGGGGGGGTGGGGGGTGGGGGGGGGGTGTGGGGCAGGGGGAGGGGGGGGGTGGGAGGGGGGGGGGGGGGGGGGGGGGGGTAGTGGGGAGAGTAAACATGCAAACCTCGGCGGCCGCCCGTTTCAGTGTTTGAGTCCGTCTTTATTACTGTCATCACCTGCGGAGGTAATGTTTTTCCTCCGGGCTGATGGGTTGTCCAAACGCAAACAGCGCCGCTCTTTACCCAGCAGACCCTCTGGGAGGAACATGAGACGTCTTCATCTGGGCGCTGCCTCATTACGGCCCCTACAAACACACACACACACACACACACACACACACCCCTCTTCCAATACACACTTCTCTTATGCCACACTTTGATTTGTGTAACACGCAGAAGAAAAAAAAACACTCTTCGGCACTACTTTCCCTCCTCGCTCACGCTCACTTTCTCTCTCTCTCTCTCACACACACACACACACACACACACACACACACACACACACGCATCTTTTGGGTGTAATAAAACAGCAGATCAGAGTCATTGGCTGCTGACAGGGACTGACACTGAGACCGGCTGTTGTTGGAAGGCTGCCTGGGAGATGTTCATTACTCACAAGGCTTGTCGGTTTGGACAGGAGAGGAACAACGGCCTTATTAAGTGGAGACCTGGAGCAGCCGTAGGGGAAATACACACACGCCCACACGCGCACCCACGCGTGCTCCCAAAGAAAGTTTGAAGCCGAGCACTCCGATAGGCTGAGGGAAGTTGGGGGCTGCCAGGAAATCTTTATTTTCTTTTTTTTAAGAACTTTTACAACAAATACGCTGCGTACGCTCAGAGTTAGCTGGCTGACGGACGGACAAATCGTGACGTGACGACAATCCGCCAACCGCCCGAGAGGTGGGACGTCAAATTCCACCGCGGAGGAATGCGACGGCCTCGTTTTTACAGGAGCCTGCTGGTATTGATTGGAGTTTTCTGATGTCTGTCTGGCTCATTGTATAACTCTCACAAGAAGAGAATTCAATATTCCCGACATTGCTGAACCTGAAGCCCTGTTTCCATAGTAACTCTGCTCTCCGTCTCTCTAAACATAGCCCTCCTGACTGACTTTAGCTCTCCCCAGATCATCAAGCACGGCTGAAGAGGAGGAAGATGCGTGGACGTGGACAATGATGTTCTTGACTCGGGGCGATGAAACGATTTGCTTGCTCGTCAGAGCAGCCGACGACGTATTTGGTGTATTTACAGTCCGAGGAGGAGCGGAAGGAGACAACATGAGACAGGATGAGAACAGGCTTTTTATTTCACTGGGGTGCGTTCATCCATCTTCCAAAATAAAAAAGAGAGGAAGATTTACAAGGTGCTGCTTTTTGAGGTGTTAAAACTGTTAAGTTTTAATCACAAAGCCCCCCCCCCCCCCACCCCTAGTTCATCTCTCACCTGCTACTTTTCCTCCCTAAGTTTGCAAAAAATCTTAAAATAGCAGCATCTCTCTCTAAACAACCTGCTCCATTTCCGCCTTGAGCACAAAAAAAAAAGGGGGCCGTCATAAATCAAAACTACCGCGCCCGTGACGGTTCGGGGACAAAAAGGGGAGCTGGCTGAATTAGCATTTCATGCAGTCATCTCATGATTTTCTTTTGTCATTTTAAAAAAACAAACATTTTTAGGGTAAATCTCCACAGGTGCAGCCAAGTCCAACGGGACGGCGCTGATCTCTTCGCAAATGGATGTAGAGGAAAAGTAGAGGAAGTAGGATGCGAAGGAAGTCCGGCCCTTTCTTTTATCCTAATCTGTCAGAGAGAGCGGCATTTCTGATACTTAAACGTGACCGAGGAATCATCTCCATCCACGCTGTCAGAAAGCATGGCAATGTGATTTAGAGACATTATACAGTTACAACAATCCTTACTAAACCTCTCATTTCATTTCCTCACGAAGAACCTGCTGATATCTGACGCAACCTTGTAGGCTGCCACGCTCTTCTTCATCTGGCTGCGTTCCTTGGCTTGCCGAGCCGTCCTCTGTGGAGAGAGAGAGAGAGAACGGAACATGATGTAAGAAGAGAAAAAAGAAAAGTGAGATCGATACATCGAGCCTCTAGATTAAAGCGTCTCGAGTGGTGGCGTTAAATGGCGAGAGGATCCCCTTATCGGAAAGCAGCTACTCGCGTCGGTTCATACACGTCCGACTTGTTCCAAACAGACACCCACTCTGACAAAAAAGATTAAAAAAATCTGGCGTGAAAGCAAAGCACATTTTAGGAGACAATGAAAAGCTCGGTTATACTTTTTTTTTTGTAAGAAGTCTCAGCGATTATGAAATATCGATGGCAGGAGCTCAAGAAGGGGAGATGACCCCGAAGGCAACAAACGCCATATATCAATATGTCACACCGGCACATCATGTGATGATATTACGGGCAATATATAGCTTCGTGAGGGACGGCGTGACGTTTGATCAATGTGCTTGACCATGTATCACATTACCGCCACCACGTATGATCCTCAACATGAGTGATGAGGCCGGGGATAAAGGAGAGGTCCATCCAGTGTGCGATCTTAAATGTTAGACAAATTGCTTTGGCCCCTTAAGCCCCTTTGGCTCTGAAAGTCAGTTGTTATGGGTGCAGGGATGCGGTGTGTGTGTGTGTGTGTGTGTGTATGTGTATGTGCACGTACAGCTTTGTGGCACACGGTGCAGAGCGTCTGCAGGTTGTCCAGAGAGCACTGTCCTCCTCCGCTGTAGACCGGCCGGATGTGGTCGACCTGCCAGAAGTCTCCTTCGACTGGAGCCCGGATCATCTCGTTCAGCTGTGGGAGCACACACACAGAAAGAAACAGTGAGCGTCTCAGTGTGCCGGGCTTGATTTTTTTCCTCGCACCGCTCTAAATTACCAACAAAAAAAAATATCAAGCTGTGATTGCGCCGCCCTCCCACACCATCCATCTACTCCGGAATTCTTTTTTTTTTTTTAAACCGATGTGATGTCTTTAGCGAAGCTCAAGTCTTTCTCCGAGTGCTAAAGTGACCTAAATTGTTATTTTTCCGCATGCGCATCCCACCGCACACACACGAGCGCGCGGAGGCGTTCGTGCTAAACAAATCTCTGCACCGCAGGGGCACTTCTGCAATGCGCTTCGAATAAAAGAGGATAGAAACAAATACATCTTGAGGAGCACACATGACAGGGAGGCACATAAGTGGTGGAAATCTACAACAGGAAATAATGAAAGGAAGGTTTAAAGGTTGAAAATGCCGAGGTTAACGTAAGCCTGTATGGTTTCAAGTGTGATTACAATAATTTGCTCCAAATCGGTGACGGTGAACTTTGACCCTCTATTATCCGTCACCTAGGATAACTCAGCGACGGCTATATAAACCAGCACAATGTTATCGGCCTACATAAAGGGCAGTCCATGCACATGTAAGTCTGCCTGATAAAGACACAGCAATGAGGTTAAATAAACCACAGGGTAATAACATGGTACGAATGTTTTAAGCTAGTACTGGCTTTGTAATAACTGGTATTCAATAATACACGTAAATACCACAGCATCACTGTCCTGTGAAAACCAAGAAACCAGTGTCATTACCAATATTGGGGAAAGGTTAGCATGCTAACACGCTAAACTAAGATGATGAACACGGTTAGTATTACCTGCTAACGCATATTAGTAAAAGATGTTAGCAAAGATGTAGTGTATATTGTAGTATTTTCATATTTGACTGTACTTCTAATGAAGTTGTCCATTTAAAATACAACCTTACTTCACCTGACCCCCGAGGCAGCGCGCTTAGTGCTAATTACCACATGTTAGCATGCTGGGACGAACATGAGAAACGTCACCTGCTAAACATTAGCATACAAGCATTGTTATTTTGCTCATGTCAGCATGCTAACACGCCAAACCAATATGGTGTAAATGGTGAACGTAACAGTTGAACATCAGCACCTTGACGTTGTCCCGGTGAGCTTGTTAGCATGCTGACATTTGGATTTAGCTAATACAGCCAAACAGAGCTGCTAGCATGGCTGTAGACTGTTAGCATAACCTGTCATGAGGTCAGTTAAGGGAGCAACTATTGAGTATTTTTTTTAAATTATCAATTAATCTCAAATTTTTGTTCGATTTTTATTAATTGATAAGTCATTTGGTCAGCATAATGTTTAAAATGCTAGGAAATTGTTATATGTGACTTCCCATGGTTATTGCTGAGCAAAGTGTTTCAGCACAAATGTCTCGTTGACCTAAATAGATTACTGAGGACATATGAAATCTAAATAAAGCCATATATTCCGATTCACTCATTAAATCTATACTAATCATACGCAGGCAGACACAACAGTGTCTATCGTATAGCAGTGAGAAAACTCTGGGACCAAAAAAAATGTTGTTTGCTTGTTTTTATTTTATTCTGAAAAGAAACAGACCAAAAGAGAAAAACAACAGAAAACGTATTTGACAATAAAAGAAAGGAACACAGAGTGAGTGTGAGAGTAAGGAAGCGGAGAAGCAAAAGATGACTTTTTAGAATTAGAAAGAGAGAGAAGCCTGATGGGAAGAGTTCAGGGCGAAAAATCCATTTTCCTGCTTTGAGTGCTACTCTGCCGACATTAAGGCAGCGAGCTGGAATTGATCCCAACAGATTTGAAGAACAGGCCTGCTCACGGGGGCACAGTTCACGTCTCTTACACACACACACACACGCGCACACACACTCTCTCTTTCTCTCTCCCCAGTCAATTGGACCTGCTTTTGTGCCAAAACCATGCACCTTGCAACACCAGACCTCACTACTACACACTCACACACAACTAAATACTGCTGACAGGCACCTAAAGGCCTTACACACATGGCAAAATTCTGACATACACATACTCGCACGCACACACCGAGACAGACCCCATGGTACACATAAAGACCTACACACATATGTACACACACACACACACACACACACACACACACACACACCAGAACCCCCGGTATGAACCAAAGAATGAGCCGATAATCTGGAGGCTCCTCCACCGCTGCGCCGTCTTATCATGTGGCTGAGTTTGTTTCCTCTAAAGCTCGGCGCATCGATCGGCGCTCCTGCAGCTGCCGGCGGCACAGGGAGGGAGTGTGTGTGTGTGTGAGGAGACGAGGGGGGGGGGGCTGGCTTTGCAGAATAACAGCCAACCAAATCAAACAGGCTTACTGGTCGAGGCCTGGTACTGGAAAAAATAAAAAATAAAAATCAATGGGCCCAGCAATCCATTTACTGGGCGCTGGCCCTTCGGAGGGAAGATCAACCTGTGTGTGTGTGTGTGTGTGTGTGTGTGTGTGTAGGTGGGTTGAAAGAAGAGTACAGGGCGCTTTTATTTTTGCACCTACACAAACACACAGACAAGAGATGGCTTATGTACGTTATGTAGCTCACATCAAGAGGATGTGTGCGTTTCTGATACTGAAGGTTGGTGTTTCCTCAGAACGCACAGCCAATGGACTCCATCTCTCCTCCATTAAAATATCTGTAAGACACAAAAAAAAAAAAACATGTCCGACCTGTTTGAGTGACAGCTGCGCGAGCCAGGTGTTCTCCAGCATGTCCTTGCGCTGGGAGGGCAGGGCATCGCGGACCTTCAGGAACAGGTCGTGGGCGTGGAGGCCGCAGTGCTGACAGACGCCGCGCTCCGCCTCCAGCACCCGCGAGCGCATGTACGTCTGGCTGGAGCGCAGCTGGAACTCCTCCTGGCACCTGCAGAAGTGGGGG